AAGCCTTCAACGAAGAGTAGTGAAGCAAATCCATCAGTAAGCCTTATGAGCATGATGCATAAATCCTTTAGGTCATCTATCTGATATTCCCCTCAGAAGAAGCGGAACAAATCCCTATTTTCCAAGGTTTGATATTCCCTGAGTGACAGCGGAACAAATCTGCCTTAATTCAATGGATCACGTCTCTTTCCATATCTGATATTCCCTTCAGAAGAAGCGGAACAGATTCCTATCTTCCAAGATTTGATATTCCTTGAGTGACAACGGAACAAGTCTACCCTGATTCAATCTTCCCTGAAGAACAGTGGAATGAATCATCATACCCAGATCTGATATTCCCTGAGTGACAGCGGAACAGATCCCTTATCATATTTCAAACCATGAAGTTGACCAGACGAAAAAACGCATTGTCTCTTCATCTTTGTCCCATTCTTGTTGACACAAAAATGGGACATAAAGGGGCAACTGTTGACACTCGTTTTTTCGTCCTAAATATTATTAATATTATTAATACTATTTATTTTTATTTCTTGCAGGCTTTACAAATCCAAGCTCAATCGGGCCCGAACTACAAAACAATTAATTACAACCCGACTCAATTGGAGCTCAAGACCCAACTCGGTTCAAGTCATCTCAAGCCCCATGTGAAGCACACTAACCGAGCAGCAGCCCGTTCCCATGCTCCATAACGCCCCAAGCACCATGTCTGAGCCATCAAGTTGCCAAACATCGTCATTGCATACATCAACAGCAACCAAATCCTCAATAGACAAAACAAAATCAGACCAAATCCACTAAACATTTTTAAATCACATAAAATCTCAAGAAATTTGATATCGTGCCCTACCACTGCTCAGTGGAAAACCCACCAAAGATCCATTAAATGGATGCATGTAACCATTCGACGAGGGGGGGCTCTCGGTGTTAAAAAAACAACAAACACGAGGGGCTGATTATTAGAGTGGAGGAGCAAGCAAAGAAAAAAAAAGCAACAAATAGAGAGCAAACAACGGGCTTCAACAACAACACAGGGGGTAGCGATTCGAACAGAGGGAATTCACCAACAAAGGGGGATTTTCATTTTTCAACCAGTCATCAAAATCAGAGGATATCAACGAAAAGGGGAAATTTGTAACCCGAAATTATTCCCACATATTTTGTAAAACCTAGAGGGAAATAAATGCAAACAAAGTTTTCTCTTTCAAATTAGAACGAGTAAAGTTTTTCAGGGTTCTCTTTTCCTTTTGTTCGAAAGAAAGTTGTAAGAAATCAGTAGCATTTGTTAAGGTATTTTCCTTTTCTTTCGTTTCGATTTCCAACAATTTTGTGTGTGAAGGATAGCTAGTGTGAAAACAAGAGTAAAGTAGAGAAAGAAAATTGATTTTACCTGTCGTTTGAGTATTCTTCACCGGAGTAGAGAAAGTGTCGGTGAGTCTAGTTGAAGAGTAAGAAGCCTCTTTAAACTTTTAGGCCCTTGCATGTCCATTCTGAGGCTCTAGTTTAGGTGATTGTGACCGTGGAGTTTGAGTGGGGAGAGGGTTCCAACGACACTGTGAAGGGGGAAGCAGAGAGTTGGGGAAATGAATAGAGAGATATGGCCATGAGTTTACTTTAAATTTATGTTAGGCTTTATGTTTAATATATATATATATATATTCATTAAAATGGCAGTGATTCATTGTTGATCAACCCGTGTTTTTGAGGAGGGGCTACTTTTGGTTGAAGTCCATTAATTTTAAGCTTTCGTATTTTGATCCTCAAATTAATATATCCGAATGTCTGATTTAGTCATTAGGTTTTGAGCGTTGACATTTTAGTCCCTGAATCTGGTTATATTGAATTTTCATTTGTTTGTACATTGGGTATGCTCATTTTGAAATCTGCATTTTAGTCCTACATGCATTCTTGGGTTTATTTCGATTTTAGTATACGAAATGTAAGAAGTTATGTTTTATGACTTGATTTTTGTTAAATTCATGGTTTTAGTCTTAAATTTATTTTACATTTTTTGTATTCATTATATTTTTATATTCTCATGATAATCTTCATATAGTTGCATTAGTGTACAAAATTTTGGTATTCGATTAAATAGGTTTCATATTAAATTTTCGGGTAAATTAAGTTATAGTTCCCCAAACTTGAGCACCTTTTGTAAATTAGTCACCTTCAGGATTGCTTTCTAATTTAGTCTTATGTACTTGTCATGATTTCATTATTTTCCCAGTTTTATATTTTAGTTGTAATTTTATTGGGTTATTTATGTTTAAATCATATATATATATATATATATATATTGTGTGTTATATTTTGTATAAGCATATATATGCACAGGTATAGATATGTGAAGGGTAATATTTGTAATAATTTCATTTGTTTACAAATTTGGTTACTTGGCATAATGTGAATGTGTAAATTGCTGCATGGTTTAAGATTTAATTTGAATTAGTTTGTATAACAACCTCATATACATAACTTGACATTATTACATAATTAGATTAAGGATAATATTCGATCGATTTAATATTGTCGTAAAGTAACTGTCTTAACGTATAAGAAAGTTACTTTCGATAATTTTAAAACGAAAGTCTATCCCATTAAGTGACACCAATTAAATCGAATCCATTTTTAAAAATTCGGGGATTGAGGAAAAGATCGTATTCTTTTATTTAAATTCATCGAGAAAAGACAGTTAGATCGAATCTATGGTCTCGTCTCGATATATTTATTTAATTGAATATTCTTATTCTCATTAAATATTGGTAAAAAATAAATAATTAATCAATTGCTTGATAGTTTTTTTATTTTTACTTTCGCATGTGTTTTTCAAAGGGTTTTCAAAATAATAATGTTCGATCATAAACAATTAATTTTTTCACTCTTAAAATTATTTTGGGTATTATTATTTTGAAATTTAGAATGAAATTTTAATATTTCTTTATTTCGATTGGAGTAAGAATCGATTGCTTTAAGGTATGATAGATCGATTCTTCTCGATAAGAAATAATTTAATATTATTATCTTTCATACAAAATTTCTAAAAATGTTATTTTAGATGATCTTAAATTAAATTAGACTCGAACTTGTACATTTTATTGCAAAGACAATTAATTAATCGACTAGGTACCAAATTAGGGCGTTGTGGGGGTGTTAATCATTCTCCACACGTAACCGACTCTCGAACTCAAATTTTAGTAACACAGACTCCAAGTTTATCTTTTTAATTAAAATTAATATTTTATTAAAATGGCAAATATTTTTTGGGTGCCCAATCACATCCTAATCAAAGATTGGTGGCGACTCTTCGAACCATATTTTTTCTATCGTAAAGGAATTTCCAAAATTTTGAAACGAGATGTTTTTTAAAATCAAATTACTTTTTTTAATTAAAATCAATCAATTAAGAGAATAATTAAAAATGATGCGGTTTTCAAAATCTCGCCTCTAAAAAAACCGTTTCGACAATGTCTTTAAATGAAATATAAGATTTTATGTAGGTTCAGATTCGAGCTCAAGCTCAAGCTTTAATCGAGTTCGAGTCCGAGCTTGAAATGAGTTTGAATCGAGCTCAAAATCGAGCTTCAGTCGAGCTCCTGAAAAAAATTTAAGTTCAAGCCTTCTTGAGTTGGAGTTGAGTTTAAATATTTTATTTCGAGTTCGAGCTGAGCTTGATAATTTTTAGCTCGTGAGTTATCGAGTCGAGTTTAATTTTAAACTTTTCGAGTTCGAGTTGAGCTCAGCAATACTCTAGCTCAACTCGGCTTGTTTACAACCCTATCTATGAATGGAGATGTTTTCAACATCCTATTAGGAGTGACCGTTCGATCGAGTCGAAAAATTTCGAATTATTCGAGTTAACGAGTCTTATTTTATAAAATTTGATTATTTGAAATTTTTTTCGAGTCGAGTTTATAAAATTCTAGTTGATTTTAGTTTTCGGGTTTCTATTTAAATTTAATTGTAAATATTTATAATATTATGGTACTATTTAATTCCAAGTTAAATGATTTTTTATAACCATATATAATACATATATATTTCTTCATATTTTTTTCATATGTGATATACATCTATCATACAAAGCCGAGCGACTCGACTCAAACTTGAAAATAAATTCACTAATTACTAAAATTTTTGAGTTATTTGAGTTGTATTTTATAACTCGAATTGAACTTTAAATTTTTTTGAATCGAATCAAATTTATGAAATTATAACTCAAAATCAATTCGAATAATTTTTTTGAGTCGAATCAAATAAAAAAATCAATTTTTCTAGTTGAATCAAATTTTGCTCGCCCTTTATACCTATGAATGTAAGACGAAAGTAGACGAGGTAATCCTTGTTTTGGCTCGCTCCATTACTATTTCTAATTTTTTTTAGTTCAATTATTTTGATTATATTATTTTTATTTTTAGTATTTTTTAAATTTAGAATTTTAGTCGTTAAATTAAATTTTACTATTAATTCTTTTAATTATCCTTGATTTATAATTGAGTTATAATTTTTTATTTTAAATTTTTATAATTTAGTTATAAGCTTATTGAAAAAATAAATCTAAAGTATATATATATATTTTATATATCTAAAGTATGTGTTTTTTTGGTTAAAATTGATATTTAAGGTATACAATCTTTCTAGTTTAGATACCTAAAAATTAACATATAATATTAATTAAAAATATTTCACGTACTTAAATAAAAAATAATACTTTGAATACTTTAATAAAAAATTAAATATTCAAATAAAAAAATAATATAATTTAAGTACCTATTTTCGAATTAAGCCATTAATCCCTTCAATGGCGTGGGTTGAAAATAAAATTTAAAAATTTAAAAAAGAAAGAAATGAAATAAACAAATAACAGATTTTTGACCTTTCACCTCTGCCATTTCAGGGTATAATTTTTTTACTTTTTTTTATTTAAAGGGATGATGATTAGCATCTGACAAATAATTCCCAATTAAAACTGGATTTTAGAATCTCTGGTTTTCCCCTCCAACCAGAGATTCAAAATTCTCAATACCCTGTTTTTGTTCTTTATTATTAAGCTAAATATTCAGGTTTTTCTGTATCATTTGTTTTAATTTTTTTTGTGGGGTTTACCAGCTTTCCTTATAGTTTTCATCAGCATCTGTTCAGCATTCGTGTAAGCTTTTCTCCTCTCTGATTCTACTTTTTTTTTTGCGGGTTGTGGAAAATAATGAAATTTTGGTTTTGCTTCTTTTTTTTTTTGTTCCTTTTCATTTTATTTTATCCCTTTTTTGGGTGCATATTTTAAACTTTATTAGAATGTTTTCAATAGAATTTGGATACCGAAATTAGATGTTTCTTAGTCATTTGAATATCTGATTGCTTGTTTAATTTTATTAATTGTAGATTTTTTGAGATGCAAATTTGAGGTAATTTTGTTGCCAGCCGTTTTTAGTGCTGATTGGAATTTTGGGTAGTTCCTTGTTTAATCTATTTTAGCAGTTTGGGGGATTTTTTATATTTTTTTTTCTTTTAATATGTTAGGGTATTAAGAAGAATTGCTGCGAATAATCAGTTGTAATTAACGAGTGCTGGTGCCTTGAGAACCCGGCTTCATCACGGGCATGTTGGCAGGATGAGGAATGAAAAGTATAAGATGTCGGCATTAAATGGTTTACACGAACCTTTGTTAGATAACCACAGTTATGATGGCAGACATTCTGAGGTGATTATGCCATTGCTTATGTTAAGTGTATTTTTTTTTTTTTGCAAGGAGGAGGAGAAAGAGTACTGATAATGTCAAATGTACCTTCTTTATTATGTTGTAGGGGAAAACGCTAGCGGATATCTTGGATGAGGAGCGAAGAGATAAACATTTACATTGTTTGATTTTGCTCTTTAACTTGATCATGCAATGGAAACAATGGATAGGTGAGATATTATGTTTAGTGTGCTTCCTAGTTTCAGATTTGGGATTTTCTTGTTTGCAATGTCTATAATTGCAGTTGCAATATACTTATAGTCCTTTTTTCTGTTCGTTGGATTCTAACTTCAAAAGTTAAACCATTAAATTAGTCAGGTACTAATCTGTTGAGCACATCTGTTTAATAGATTCCTATGCATATAATTTGGATATACTTTTGTCTACGTAAATATACTTATGCAGCATGTGCACCTTTTTGCATGAGTTTTCTGAGTATTCCCCTCACATCTTATAAGCATTTACCGAAGATTCCCCTGATAAAAAGCACAGTTGTTGGAATGTCTCTCTATCAACATAGTTCATAGAAACAGAAGTGCCCCACCTGTTTTGTAGATGGTGCTGTATACTCATCACATGACTTTATAACTTCACATTCATTCATATATAATGGAAGGCCGTTGTGTTCATCGTAGAAAGAAAAGTGTATACTCCAAAAGGGGAAAAGTAAGCAAGTAGAAATGGAGAAATGATGGGTTTCTAAAGGCTATTTAATTTAGTTATCTATGTGAACTAAAATGACCCTAATTGGGGGCATTTTGTGAAGTAAATGCCTCCTCAAAGACATTATACAGTTTAATGTGAAGGGTATAGTTTGACACTGAATAATAGAACTGTACGCCAAAAAAGAGTTGTCTGATAGTTTAATGCTGTATGGGACTTTATTTATTGCATTATTTGCTTTATTTCCTTTTCTCGTAATTGATTGGAGTCTTATAGCAGTTTGAGTTACTGATAGATTAATTTTGGCTTTTCCAGCAAACAGTATCCTTGGATCCATAGCATTTATTGCACAATTTTTACCTCTACCTTCTAACATCCAAAATGGATCAAACCAGACATGTATTGAGCCTGCACTTAATCCTTTACAGGTATAATTAGCATTGCACTTTTTCCATGTATTTTTCTGGACTTGAATAACCTTATTATTATTATTATGTTTTGAAACGGGTAGAGGGGGATGTGGCCATGTGGTTATAATGGAGGCATGCTCTGATGATCAACTTATTGTTTTCCCCCTCTTCGTGTTGGTCTTCTTTATCCTAAAGGGGAAGTGACAAGGAGACCTTTAGAAAAGCAAGAGTTTGTCAATTTCTATGTTAAGATCGGGAAGGGTATGTTACAGTCCTGAGTGTAATTTCATAAATATTGTCTCTACTTGCAGAAAACTGATAAAATGTGATTGGACTGAGAGAGAAATTGGTAATATGATCTGATTGATCTTCAGCATTGTAAATCTAAATACAATTCAGGCTTTAAACTTGAAGCTAGGTAGAGAATTTGCTTTCAGCTGTTACAGTTTTTAAAGACAACTTAATACAGCATTATAGAGGTAGCACACTAGAAAGTCGAGAGTTTGCCTCAGTACAGGATCCTGAAGTATATGGATGTGAAAGAACACTAAAGGAAAGAAATTTCTTCCTCTTTTTTGGTAGTTGGAGTTTTTAACTGGTTTGAAGGATGATCTTGGAGAAATAATTAAAGCTTAAAAAGATTCTTTCTTGTAGATTTTCTTGTAAAACAACTGAGTTGGCAAAAAGCATGAGCATAGTTTATTCAGTTGTTTGTCTTTTAAAAGAGAAAAAAAAAACTTTTCATTGACCTTTCTATTCCATTTTATTATTGGTAATCTAAGGTAACTTGGTGTTTCCATTCTTTGTCCTTGTAGGAAGCTAGGCTGAGAGGCCTTCAGCGAAGATTGGGAGTTCCCTTTGATGGATCTCAGCTTGAGCATCAAGTAGGTTTTTCTATAATCAGTGTGTTTCTGTATTTTTCTATCCTTATTTTTCTTTTACCTTTTTTAAGTTCTTTCTGTCGATTATAGTCAGTAGATGCACTTTTGGTTAAAAGAATTTGCCAATTCCATCAGATTTTCTTTTGGCATTGAAAATGTCAGTTGTCATCCTTTCGAGTTTCTCTCTCTTCCCCCTCCCCCCAAATACGAAATATATGAACTTGAGTAAAAGATTATCAAACTTCCATTTGACTGGCAGGATGCTCTTAAGCAATTATGGAGATTGGCTTACCCTGACAGGGAGCTTCCATCTCTTAAATCAGAGCTTTGGAAGGACATGGGATGGCAAGGTGCAGATCCTTCAACAGATTTTCGGTATACTGACTTTGCCTTAAAACTTGTCTTGGTTGGTTTTTCTTTCCTGATTATATGTAATCACCTATTCATATTATCTCATTGCTATTTGAAGGGGTGGAGGATTCATATCATTAGAGAATCTCATCTTTTTTGCCAAGAAATATCCGGTTTGTTTCCTTTCCTTAAATTAACTGGATTTTGTTTTGTCGATATCTACCATATAGAGCATCTGAAACTGCTATAATTTTACTTGTTTATCTTAACATATTAGCGTGTACAAAACAATGAAACAATCATTTCTTCCATCAGCAAGAACTATAGACATGGTCGGTCAAACTCTGATTTGGTCTTTCCTTGAACAGCAATCTTTTGGGAGGTTGTTGCACAAACAAGATGGGAATAGATCTGAATGGGAGTATCCATTTGCTGTAGCTGGTGTCAATATTTCATTTATGTTGCTACAGATGTTGGATCTGGAATCAGGTAATGTGATTTCAGAACTGCTTAGATATTGAATTTGTATTTTCGATATCACCTTTAGAGGCTAAAATATTCTTCCGGCATTACTTGAACAAATACAATAGCGCTTTATTTTACTGACGAGAAAAGTATCGGACTCTTATCTTAATAACGAACAAAGTAAATTAATTATCTGCCGTCTTGCCTCAATGTTGAGTTTCTTTTTTCTTTTTGTAATAATGTTTTACCTGCAGAGAAACCATCTTCCGGGGCTGGCAGACGATTTTTGGAACTACTTGCGGAAGATGAAATGGCATTCGACGATCTTTATTGTGTGGCCTTTCAGATGTTGGATGTGCAATGGCTTGCGAAACAGGCTACATACATGGAATTTAATGTAAACCGTTCTAAACGAATGATTCTATTCCGAGTATCTCGACCTTTATATTTGTAATTCCTTGAGTTTCACTACTTCCCTCCACATTACTCCACAGTTCATTCTATATTTTTTTGCTTTTTTTCGTCAGGCTATTCTGAAGTCTACAAAAACACAATTAGAGCATGAACTCTCACTACCAAACGTCTCCAGTGTGAAGGATTTACCGGCATATAGTCTGTTAAAAAGGTAACCATCGTCTTCGAATTTGAAACCGACATTTGTTTTCTTCATTTACAGAATAATTTTCATGTATAGTTCCTTCCAACGAAAATTATATGAATTCACTATGAAATTCAAGTATATTTCCGGAATACAATGACTAGTTTGCTTCCTAGTTTGCATAATGTTGGCTCATCCCCCATACTATGGATAACATTAGACAGTTTGGATCCATGGAATACTGAGATTTGTGTTCCAAATAAAAGCTTCAATCAATTTCATTTATGGCCACAACATAAGATGCTTGTCACACATCAATCCTAGACATGTTTATTCTGTAAATCATTCTTGATCTGGTCTTGCATAAGATTCTTTTGAAGGCTGTTCCGTTACATTTTTCTGAGTTCGTTTCATGTTCTATTATTCTAGTTAGGCTCAAGTACCAGGTTATTATTCATTTTCCATCAAATAAAAAATTCAACTAGGTGGATATAGATAAATTGATGAGGTTTTAACTATTTTTTAATTGGATAAAATATACAAATGATCCCCCGATTATAGAGTGATGTTTTGTTGATTCATTCGACTATTAAAAGATATAAAATGGTCCCTCGACTATAGGATGTTGTTTTGTTGAGTTCTCCGACTATTACAAGCTACAAAATGATTACCCGACTTTTCATATGTTCCAAACTCGTCATTTTATTTTAAAAAGTTGACATCCGTTTGAGTTCTTATTGACTAGGATATGATAAAATCATATTTTAATATTGTCCACTGGCTTGACAATATAATATAAATGAAAAGTTGATTTATAAAATACAACTCAAACGGTTTTGGAATCAGATTTTATCATATTTCAATCAATAGGTTAATGTCCAGCTCAGATGATAGTAATTTTTTTTAACGGAAAAGAACGAGTTTGAAATATATAAATAGTCGGAAACAAATATAATATGTGAATGCTTTTAGAAAAAGAGTAAATTCTTGGGTAAACCAAGAACAAATGTGAAATCAAATATCAAATGCTTTGTTGAAAGTAAAAGGGGGAAAAACGAAAGTGTTTTATATAGAAAGAAAGATGGTAAGATATACAAAAGAAAGATGGTAAGGGTGTTCTCACCGAGGGTTAATATTAGGGGTGATCAAAATTCGACTCGAAAAAAGTTCGACTTGAATTGACTCGACTCGTAATTTTATAAATTTGATTCTACTTGAAAATTTTTTAAATTCGAGTTGAGCTATAAAATATAACTCGAATAACTCAAAATATTTTGTAATTAGTGGATTAGTTTTCAAGTTTGAGTCGAGTCCCTCAATTTTGTATAATATATATGTGTATCACATATGAAAAAAAATATATGAAGAAATATATATATGTATTGTATATGGTCATAGAAAATCATTTAAATTATAATCAAATAGTGCCATAGTCAGTGATGGATCCACATGTATCCGAGGGTCCACCCTAAAATCTAATTTTTTTCTCCGATTAATTACTTATTCTATTGATGGTGTCCACCCTGAAATTTTATTTATACTCATCCCATTAAAAGAATGTGTTATTAACATATATGTGTTCACCTTAAAAAATATTTCTGGATCTGCCACTAACCATAGTATTATAAATATTTATAATTAAATTTAATCAGAAACTCAAACAACTCGACTCGAAAAGATTTCAAATAAAGTTTGAGTTATAAAATATGACTCGTCAATTCGAATAACTCGAAATTTTTTAACTTAACTCAAAAAAATATCAAATAAAATTTGAATTATAAAATTAAACTCAACAATCTAAATAATTAAAAAAATTGACTCGACTCGATTAAACGTTGGTCCCTACTTTATATACTAGAGATAAACGAGTGTTGTGGTTTGGATCCTCGGGGTCGGAGTAATAGTTGTGTTGCTGGTACATAAGGGTTTGCTTAATGTTGCCAATGAGGTTGAAGATTTGGGTCAAGTTTAAGAAAGATATTTTTTGTAAGATGGAGAAAGATCATTCCAAAGAGTCCAAGAGAGTGGGTTTCCATCCAGGCCCAATACATTTCAGCCTATTCCTCTCATACAGTGGCAGATGCAAAAAAAAAAAAAAATTTAAGGTAGGTATATATATTAATAATAGATTTTTTTGTTTAGGGTAGCCATAAATAAAATTTCAAAGTGGGTAACATCAGTAAAATGAACAACTAATATAAAGAAATTTGAATTTTAAGATGAACATGTATCTATCCTGGAATACACATACATCCGTCACTGCTCACATAAATATTTTTTTGTTTCATTTGATGCTTAAACTTCAAGTTTCAACTCCTTTATAACTCGTCAAGTAATCTCAGTAGTTAAATGATTTGTTATTTATTTTAAAAGTCTTTGAGTCAAGTAGTTACGTCTAGGAATGTGTGCATGATCAATAATTAAAAAAATTAAACATATATTATCTTATAATCACTCTAAAAAACACGATGATTTCACTAATCATCTATACAAAATTAAAGAAGAAATTAATTTACAAGTGTCTTTCACTTTAGTTGAATCGGAACTTATTTATTCAGCTTTTAATTTATAATATTAAATTGGGATTTTATTTTAATTTGATTAAAGATTATCATTAACGTCTATCATATTTCAGTTAGTATGTTGACGTTTAGCTCAGACGACAGTCGGATTTTTAATGAAAAAATGAGTTTGGAATATAATGAATAGTCAAGTGACCATTTTGTAACTTTTAATAGTCGAGAGACTCAACAAAGTAACACTCTATAGTTGAGAGATCATTTTATTATTTTTAATAATTAAAAGATTTAACAAATCAATATCATTTAGTCAAAAGACCATTTGTGTACTTTATCCTAATTAAATTTCCTTGATGTGTGTGATGCTATTAATAAAATTGATATCTTAAATGAATAAGACATTTTAATGATTAAATATTTATTACTATTATTAATGTTTTCCGTAAATACAATAAAGATAAAAGTTTAACCTTAAGAATTAAGGTATTTGAGAAAGATGTAATTTCTTGGAGGATGCTTTGTAATTTTTTTCGTGTAAAAGTTACGTTATTTGTTATAATTTTGTGTGTGAAAAAGTTATAGATTTAATGAAATAATATTTTATTATCTAATATCGTGAATTTAGATAAAAAATCAAATCACGTTAAATTTATTTTCTTCAAGTATACTTTATTTATTTTTATCATGTCTTTTAATTAGAGATATAAAAATATGATTTGATCTAAAGAAATTAATTGAAATCGATTTGAGTGTGAAATATTTGTGACCCAAGGTGGTGATGATTTGCAATCGATTCGAGGTTGAATTGATATTGACCTGAATCCTATTTAGACCTTATTAGTTTGGATTTGAACATGACATGTACCTAACTTAACAACAATATGAATCCGAATTAAACATGATAATGTGATAATTGAATTAGACATGCATCCGAGCTGATATGAACTCAAATCTGAGATTAACCTGATAAATAATTGATATAACTCGACTTGAAACTATACGAGATATGATTTTACCCGACATGATATCAATCCGACCTGTACTTGACTCAATTTATTTTTGACCGACCTGTTAATTGACTCAACTTGTAAATAATTCGATTTGTTGTTGAACCGATTTGATATTGATCCAACTTAGTATTTAATTCACTTGTAATTGTAATTGATGAAGTCTATGATTTGCAAGAGAAAAATGAGGTAGTTGAGACTTGAGACTTAAAACTTAGATTATGAATTTATGATATTATAATGTGATAAATTTTTTTTTTATAATTTAAGACACTCAATTAATTATGAATTAATATTGAATCAATCTGAAATTAACTTAACTCGAATTAGAACTGAGTCTAATTTGAAATCAACCTTACAATGATCCGAATTCAACTTGACTCAAATCTATTCAGACCCGAGTCGAACTATTATATTGGTTTGACATAATTCTTATCTAATTTAATTTGATTTGATATGATTTGACTTAAAAATTCATCACGAGCTAGATGAAAACAATGGGATTAAACTTGAGGAAAAATGAAGAGATCGACTCTTCTGTGATCAAGAAAGGAGATGTTTAGGTGGGAACATAGATGAACATCAAATTTTATGTTAAAGGTATAATTTTTAAAATTTTAGGAAGAGATAAATTTATAAAATTTTAAAAACGAAATCAAATTTTTAATAAAAAAAATACATAAAAAATTTAAAAATATATAATAATTTAAAAATTTCTTATATATAATTTCTCCTGTCTGCTGTCCATAGTGTGTCGGAGAAAGCGTAGAAAACGACATAGATAAAGAGAGTTTAGTTGTGACAAGAGTCTGCACATACAGAGGTGAATGATGGTAGCGTGAGGGACCTTGGCCCCCAAGCTTTGTGAAAATTTCTTTTAAGTCCTTTAGAAGTTTTGAAATTTTAATTTAACCCTACAAATTTCTTTTTATATAGGCATTAAACCTCTTAAAAAAATTAAAAAATCGATTAGATCTCTAAAAGTTTTTAGAAATTTTCATCAAATTCCTTTAATTTTTTATGAATATTTTAATTAAACCCCTCCAAAACTTATTGGTCCCAAAGCGGTAGTGCTACAAAAAATGAATCCTAGAATAATGATGATGCAATCCCCTTTGGACCATTCTATTACATTTAATGAAAAGTTTTTCGAAGGGTTGTCTTATACAATATTGACTCATCATTCAGGGCACCCGAAGTGGACGTTAGTGGCTTCTTGTTTTTATCCCTTGTCATAAAGGAAAGGCATGTAATGGGAATTCAAATATTCGAAGGACTCTGTTAAGAACGGACGTATGATTTTATGTTAGAGTCGAGTTTACAAAATTTTAAAGAGAAATGAATTTATAAAATTTTAGGGGACGAAAATATATTTTTAATAGAAAATATAAAAAATATCTAAAATATATAAAAATTTTAGGAGTGACCGTCCTTACCTACCCCTTCGATCTATCCCTGGATCTTGCTAATGGTCCAAGCAACTCAAATGGTAGTCTTCATCTTGAAGAAGTGCATAGGAGTGTTGACAACCATGAGAAGATGATAAAAGGTGCCAACTAAATTCTCTTGTGGCCATTTTGCACAACCCTAATTGAAAGGGACAAGAGATTTCCAATTTGTCTGTCT